GTTTCTTCATTAGTATTCGATTTCTGCGTGATATCGCCGCGCTTCTTCGAGCCAGTCTCCAGTTCCGCGGTGCTCAGGAGAAACAACGCTAGGAGCGGCAGGAACACCATCCTCCCGTTGGACTTCATAGCTTCGGCGAAAATTCAAACGCGAGGCCTCATTACAAACCTATAAACGCCGGTGACCTTAACGTGCTCATCGCCCTCTCGGGCACGCGGTTATACGAGAGACGCACGATTGATCGCATTTGACACGTACATACGTGGACATTCGCGAGAGCCGTCTCGCCTCTTCGACCAATTACGTCATTAGGACACGTCAATACACATCTTCCCGCGGCCGACGGATGTCAACAAAAACAGTAGGCTCGCGATCGACCAAACGAGGACTCGTCACGAGTCGTCTGTACACGCGTTATGATACACCACGCGGGAAAACATTCGTCGAGTCAGCTGTTCACCGCTAAAAGCGTGTAATCGCCATAATAAACGTGGCTTCACGTCGTCCGTGCCGCACACGAATGCGTATTACACCTGATTACACCTTGTTTACACCGCGCAGTAGCGACATGTCCTCACCACGTCTACTCACGTCCACCGCGTCCACCGTCGACTGAATGCGATGAAGCAAAATAGTTTTTTTCCTCGATATATAAAAAATTCTGATGTTATTTGTATGTCCTTTGCCTCCACTCAGAAACGCGTACGATGGAACGGCGTAATATGTTTTGCGTTTTAGATAAGAATAGATAAGTAGAAGAAAAAATGATAATAATAATAATAATGTCGTCTTCTAATGGAATTAATTAAGCCGCTAAGTTGCCCCAACTGCACTTTGTAGAAGTTGACAGACAGATAGATTTATAAAAGTTTATAGGTTAGCAGTTCAAAAAGTTTTATTCCGATTGCATTTGTGAATGCGCTTTGAACGAATATGATTTTTTTTTTCGAAGTTTCATAAAAATTGAAACATTTCAGAATTCGAATAATGATTTTTTATACGAGAAGTAATGAATACGTGACAATCGCACAACCGTTGGCAACCATTGCAATGAATAAAAGAGACTACGCAAAATGGAAGAAAAATTAGAGAAACAGGAGTAAATATTAAGATTTTAACTTAATATCAGAAACTGGTTACATCAGAATGCACGGTTTCTGGTAGGTTAAAATCTTAATAATTATTCTTATTTCTAATATTTTCTAACCCAATCTACAATTACGTAAACATAGTTGTAAATAATTACAAGAATTGACCAATCACAATTGAATACGAAGAGAATATCCGACTGTGATTGCTGAATTCTTACAACTATGATCATTTATAAAGTCCATTTTACAATTACATAAATGTAAGAGTTGGGAAGCGTTATTTTTTTCCATTACTTTTTCGTTACTTTTTATAATAAACAATTTGATAAAAGTCTTTTCCCAACCTGGCACAACCTTAACATTTATAAAAAATTGCAATGTTTATTATAAAAAGTAACGAAAAAAGTAATCTTCTCAACTTTGAGTGTAAGTGATTGTAGTAAAGCCTATTCTACAATTGTGTAAGCGCAGTTGTAAATAGTCGTAGTTGTAAAATTTCACCAATCACAGCCGAATACGAAAATAATATTTAACTGTGATTGGTCAATTCTTACAATTACACCACTTACAACTACGCAATTATAGAATAGACTTAAAAATTAACTAATCACAGTGAAATATTTTCTTCATATTTGACTGCGATTGATTAATTCTTACAACTACGCTTACGCAATTTTAGATCAGACTTTATGGATTTTTTTCAAATAAAGGTGTATTTTCACGAGCCGCTCAAACTACTGAAATATATTATATTTTAGTAACTCAAACTGACCGTTTCAGTAATAAAAAAAAATCACGTGATGACTTTTGTTGCTGAAACGGCTATAGTTTAAGCGGCTTATGAAAATTGTGTGAAAATGCACCTGTTATTATCTAAGCTTTATAAAAGCATATTAAAGTATAGTGGAGTAAGCATGTTCGAGCATGCAATGAGAACAAACCTAAAGCCTATATTCCTACATATATATACTAAGATCTATGTATGTACTAAGCATGATGATTGATGTTAGTTGGGAGGGGAGGTGTTAATTCTTGAAGGCTGCTATCTTGCATTGGCACAGCAAAATTACAAAAATATATTTGTTATTTATATTTGTATGGTACGCACATAAAATTTTATAAAAAATAAAAAAATAAAAGAAATGCATTCAAATTATTAGGTGTTGGAATTAATTCGTAGCGTTTTTTAATGAAAGAATGTTATTTATTTCACATGAGCATTAAAAAATACATTAATGAAAGTACTTCCCATCACTTGTAAAACGCTACGAATTAATTCCAACACCTAATATATTATGTTTTATAGTTCTTGAATAATATTAATTAACATTTAGAGCATTTCTTTTATTTCTTTATTTTTATAAGATTTTATCATGTCGTTTATCAAATGAGAAATCAAAAAAAAATAACAGAAAATATGTTATAATATATTGTTTGCTATGTCACTGTAAGATAACATTATATATAGCAGTACGTACTATTGGACTTGTTTAGCAGATTACAATTGTGTGAGTGTTTGTTGGTATTGATATAATCTTCTAGATTTAAACATCTGTCACGATTTTTTTACAATTGAAACTTTTCATAATATATTGCTATTCTTGTATTTCCGTTGACGTCATTGTAATATCACTATATATTTTTACTCCGTAAAAGCTGCATTTGCATAGCTGTATCTTGTTATCAGAACATTGAAAAACATTATTTTACATACACATGCACACACACACACACACACACACACACACACACACACACACACACACACACACACACACACACACATGCACACACATACACACACACACACACACATGACATAAATTTTTTAAATTTGATGCATCTATATAAATATTTGTATAATTGCGCAAAATGAATCCTCATTCGTATTTATTAATTGATTTGGCCTGCGATCCACTTGATGGTATAAATGCTTTGAAGCATTCTTTGATTGATCAAGTAAAATGATTAGTAAAATTCTTTCTTCTGATTGATCAATTAAATGCTTCAAAGCATTTGTAATGTTAAGTAAATATTTTTCACATTTATTAAGTCTTTAAAAATTTCAATTGGACACAATTCTGAATCATGAATCGCAAATATTTGGATGGAATTAAAAAATGCTTAAATCTCTTCCAAATATAGAATTACATTACATTAATGATGATTTTAATTAATATACATATGACGTAAAAAATGTATTATAATACGTTCACCTTAAAATTAGTAAATGTAACACACGGTATTACGTGAACGTTTTTTACGCAAACAATCTTGCCTAATAATGTTTATGAACGTCTATGGTGTGTGCAATCATTAGCATACATCGCATATTGATGCACGGACAAATGGTCTAATCGTAATTTATAATTGCCTAATTTTCAACCTTTATATTTCAAAAATTTACTGTTCGGATTTTTATAATTTATTTAGTATATACCTTTATAGTTTATTTTTTGAAAACTTTCTTGCTATGGTATTTTAATTTCAAAAATTTTGAGCTACTTTCATACAAAATTAATTAAAGAGATAAAATTTAATTGCATTTGCATGGAGTTCTTTTTCTTTTATACATACATATGTCCTCTTAATTCCTCAGCAAAACAGCGGTTAAGCAATTTAAAATTATGTATATCTAAGATATCTAAAAAAAACTAGACTTGTAAATAATGCAAAAACATTCAAATTAAATTTTTTTTTAAAATATGACAATATTCTGGAAATAAAGTTTATTTATTAGGTGTTGGAATTAATTCGTAGCGTTTTACAAGTGATGGGAAGTACTTTCATTAATGTATTTTTTAATGCTCATGTGAAATAAATAACATTCTTTCATTAAAAAACGCTACGAATTAATTCCAACACCTAATATATACCATGAATAATTATATGAATAATTATAGATGTTGACATTAATTTATGTAACCGGGATTGGATGCTCAAAATATATTTTGCATACATTTTTAGATCGTAAGACATAAATAAAAACAAAAAAATAAAATTAAAATACATGTACGCAATTTATTGTTATTATTATTATTATATTAGGTGTTGGAATTAATTCGTAGCGTTTTTTAATGAAAGAATGTTATTTATTTCACATGAGCATTAAAAAATACATTAATGAAAGTACTTCCCATCACTTGTAAAACGCTACGAATTAATTCCAACACCTAATATAATAATAATAATAACAATAAATTGCTTATATATATGTATATGTATTTATATTTAATGAAATAATTTCCAGAATTTAAATTTTTCTAAAATCATTCTCAATTTTTTTTATAATATCAATATTTTTATATGTGTGTTATAGTTACTGATGGCGAAAATAAAAATTGAAGCATAAACCAAATGTAAAGGAAGAGTATAATTGAAATTTTTCAACAAAACTTTTAGGAAGCATAAATTAGAACAACACTTTTTTTAAGTTCCGTTATTCCAATTTATCCTTCAGGAGGTTTGTTGATATTTCTGTTATCTTCCTTTATATTCGGCTTCCAACGTATACGCCAACTTCGCATACGTTCGCTAAATATTGATCTACATTCAATATGGATAATTACGTATGTCATGTATATGTATGATGTTTGCATACGTTGGTCATATTGTCCGGAGGCGCCCTAACGCTCCGATTTTTATTTTCGCTAGAATAATGATATAACAAATAGAACTTATATCAAGATATAGATGCGTCTTTTTAATTGAGAAAATAGATTTAAAAGAAATTTGAAATAAAAAATGAAACAATGATGGCAATAAACAAAAAAATTAAACTTATTCATATTCTTCAAAAGTTTTTCGTTTTATTTCACAAATCCTATGAATATTAAACATATTTGAAATTTATCATTATTTGTTATATAGGATTATTTACATAGCAATATTCATGATAAGGGCCCTTACTGTGTCGTTGTCCGTCACTTCATCCGTCGTGCAACTGTGCACTTTGCTTCTTTTTCTTTCTTACATAGCGAAGAACTTTAAAGCTGCTTCACACTGTGAAAATATAGTGTTAGCACATAGTGTTAATAATTCAATGAGTTGCCTGTATTAAACATAATAGTTTTAAGACAGTTTGAAGAGAGAAAGAAAGAATAAAATTAATTGAATGGCTAATTGTATTGTGTTTTAAATTGTGACAGACAATTGAAAAAGAAAAAGAAACAAATAAATCCGGAAAAATACGAAATGCAAAAGTTTCAAGTTAATTTTAACATTACATATATAATGTTTACGAAATTAATTCTCTTATATTTTTTCTCTTTGCTAATCTAAAGCAAATGTATAATTTATTATGTAAAGTTCTCTTTCCTATTTTTTTAAATTCGACAAACTTCTATCCAGATAGCACAGAATATGATAAATATTTATGATAAATTTTCATGAATATTTATTACTATTTTTTTGTATTATTACGTAAATATGTTATTATTATATTATTATACAACATATTTATGTAAAGTATTATTAAAATATTACTTCAAATACGAAGCGCTACTACTTTGAATGTTGAGATGTTGAACTAATATATATATTCATATATTATAAATGAATTAATTAGAAATGATAATTACGTGCCGATAGGGTTGTCGGACTTTCAACACAATCAATCTGAAATATTAATAATTCCCCCAAATTTCCCAAATTAATCTTTAAAAACTGTAATAAAAACTTATTGCGAAAAATATTGCCTTGGCCGAAAGTCGAACCCGGATCTCTTACATTCCGTGCGAGCGTCCTGAGTCTTTAGATCACCGAGACCTTAGCAATATTCTTCGTAATAACCGATATGTATACAGAGTTATACATTTTTTCAGCGCACGTATATAAACAATAAGATGAACAATAAGACCGTTTATGTTAAATAACATTATTTTAAATACGAAGCACTACTATGGTCTGAGTTGACATGTTGAACTAATATATATTCATGTAAATGAATTAATTTCAGAAATGATAATATTGTCGGGAATCGAACCCAGATCTCTTATATTTCGTGCGAGCGTACTGAATCTTTAAAGGCCACGTTTATTTGACATAAACGGTCTTGTTTTCAATCTTATTTATTATTAAAATATATAGGCTAAATGTTTTTTATAGTATTTATGATAAATATAAATAAATATAAATAAATATTTTTTGTAATAATTTTGTAAATATTTCTAAAATGTTTGCTGAAAATATCATCTAATTCACGGAGTGTAAATCAACATTCTATTTTACATAATAATAAAGCAAATGCTGTTTTGCAACTAGAAACTTTCTTCGCTAAAATAGAATTATTTTAAATCATTTACAAAAGAAATATATTTTTAACTATATGTTCCATCTTTTTGATAACAACCTTTATTAATAATATAACCTTTATTAATCAAATATTCCTCTCTTTAAACAATCCATCTTCATGGATCATCGAAATAGCGATTTCCATACTAAAAATTTAGTGGTTAATTCTTTATTAAATATTTTCATAACATTTACGATAAATATTTCATAATATAAGTGAATAGTGATAAATCTGTATAATCTTTGTAATATAAAATCAATAAAAAAAATATTTACAAAATTTTGATAAATGTTTCGTAAATATATAGATAAAACTTATAAATATTTTGTAAGTATTTTATAAATATTGTATATTCTAAAACAGGTATTCATATATTTTGTTTATTTTTTATACTACGCATTCATCGTATTTTTTTAAAAATTATTTTTTAATGTTTTCTTAATGTGAATATTTTTTCGTTTTCTGGAAATTTCTTTGTCAGAGGAATCTTATTTTACTGTATATTTATACTGTATATTAATGAAATACGTTTTTAACTTTTTTTTTATCAAAATTCGACTTATTTTTAGTCTTTTTTTAAAAAGTTATTAACTTTATTAAACTACTTCTCATCTGTAAATTATAACACAAAGTATGAGAAAAAAACACTAATATTTTAGAATTACGAAATCTGTATATCATTTTTCCCATTTGTGTGTTTTATAATTAAATATAAAATAATTTAATCTCGTGTGTTTCTAAAGCAATTTTCTTTATTCCTAATTTTACTGCCTACAAATATTTTTTTGATACAATTGCGCATGTATATTTAACGTATTTAAAAAAGGAATATTTATTTTAACCAATTATATATTTTACAGAAAAAATATTTGTTCTAAAACAAATATTAAAGAAATATTAAAGAAGTTTATAAAAATAAAAGATGTTGACAGTTCATAAAGAACATCATTGCTAATTGTCATTACACGTATCAGCTCGTAAACTCAATTTATTGCAATTATCTATAAACGAGTTACTGTTTGTTTTATTATGATAAAAACTAATCGCCAAATTATATCTTTAACATGTTACTTATAATATATTAAAGATATAAAGTTCTCCTTAAGAGCAGGAGCACAGTTCTACATAATGTATAGTGCATAAGAAAATGCGTAAGAAAATGAATCAATCAAAGTCCTTTATTTCCTTCCTTTCTATAAAAGACTTTAATTGGTTGATTTTCTTATGCTTTAAGCAATATACGTTATGCAAAAATCTGTGCTCCGGCCTTAAAATGCAACTCTTATGATGCATCCACAATAGAAGAAATAAAGAATTAGGAATAAGGAATAACGGTTTCAATCTATCAGAAACCGTGTATTCCAGTGCGTCCAATTTGAGATCTTTATTCCTTATTCCTTTTATTGTGTTGTATCTTAAATTCGAGCTAGTCTTATTACCTGCTCATTTTTTAAAATTAATTAAAATAAATTTATGTAAGAATTCCCAACTGCAAAGCTGAAAGAAAACTAATTATCTTTATATATTAGGTGTTGGAATTAATTCGTAGCGTTTTACAAGTGATGGGAAGTACTTTCATTAATGTATTTTTTAATGCTCATGTGAAATAAATAACATTCTTTCATTAAAAAACGCTACGAATTAATTCCAACACCTAATAGCTATATCCTGATTTCTTAATTAAAATAATTAAGAAGTTATTATATTTTGATTAATTTGATTAAGAAATCAGGATATAGCTATATAGAGGTAATTAGTTTTCTTTCAACTTAATTATATTAATTAAAAATTACATTTTACAAAAATTATTACATTTTACAAAAATAATACTATAATAAATTATAATTTGCAAAAAATGTGCAAGGAAAATAAAATAATACGATTAGTTAATTTTAAGTTTTGCAGTTAGGAATTTTTTAATTTAACTGTCCGATAATAAATAGCGTTTTCCGATAAAAGAAACAGTATAACATGATTTCATTTTTTATTTTATATTGACAAACGAGTGCTGCGGCTCGATTAACAAGGCTTTGAAATCATTTTATTCTTGTTTATCATAATTAAACAAAGATAAATAATGTCTATGAGCGTAGTGAGCGTGAATTGATCTTCGGTTAAAGATATGATTCATTGCAATTGTATTAGGTGTTGGAATTAATTCGTAGCGTTTTTTAATGAAAGAATGTTATTTATTTCACATGAGCATTAAAAAATACATTAATGAAAGTACTTCCCATCACTTGTAAAACGCTACGAATTAATTCCAACACCTAATATAATATTATATTATCTATATTTTTATATTATCTATATTTTTTGCTAAAAGATACAAGATAAAAGTTAATCGGAAATGGTTAAGACTGAATTGCTGTACCTCATTGAACCTCGTCGGTGTGGCACAGCCTTAAAGTTCACTGCGCAGCTGGAAATCCGCTCATTCGGCAGAGGGGAGAGGTAAGGGGGGGGGGGGAAGCGCGATACCGCTGCTGTTACTGCTGTTGCTGGCTCTCTGTAGGGTTAGCAGCCCCGATAAATACGGACCTGAACGGTATGGGATCTTTCGACTTTGTCGCTTCATGAATATCTGTGTATTTGAATAACATCGGTCGACGTTACTTGGAGTGTTTGCGGGTCACTGGCGTGTGTCAGTCCGAGCAGTGACTGATAAGTAGTCTCGGAGAGTGGACTTTTGCTCGAGTTCACGACTTAAGCAGGTGTGCACGGTGATTACAAGAAGATCGTCGATAATGTCTGTAATTTCTTGATATCGGAAAATTCAGCACTTTTCCAACGGCGGAGGACACGGTGGGCAACATTCGGGGCTCCGTCATTTTGGAACATTCCTCCGAGCTTTGTTAAGACGCGGCACCTCGACAATAGTCATTTTTAGGAGGTGCCTACGTCTGTCCGCTCGTCTGCACGTGCTAACCGCCACGAGTACTATCTATACGTTAAAACGCCGGCCGACCGAACTCTCGTTACTATATTACACATTGATTACGTTATCGTGAACGTAAACACGCACGGTTCACAACGGTCGCGTTTTACAACGTTCTATATAAACATCTATATGCAAATAATCTTGCCCGGGATATCTTGTTTGTTTACGACAATTTGTTGTTTCCTTTCTTAGGATTTAAATGCGATCGTCGCTCAATCGATCGCCATATGCGCGCGAATAAGAAATCAGCGGGCGTGCAGAGAAGAATCACGACGACTCGACCGATCGACGCGATAACACTTGACTGATAAAGCGAGAAAGAAAAGATATTGCCGTTGTGATTTCGGATTGGTGATATTTTTTTTCTTTTTTTCTCTAACAATAAGTTATAGTCTCCGAACTTGTTCCCTGAACAAATGGTGGAACGCAAGCATTGGCCCATGGAGGACAGCGTACAAGGAACCTCGAGCACCGTCCTCGAGGAGATCTTCTACGTGACGTCGAAACGGAACACGTATTACAAGGTGAAGCTGACGGAAAAGGGTCTGAGCTTGCAAAAGGAGCACAATGGCGCGACGAAGATCGAGACAATCGCCTTAGGTGACATCATCGGTTGCAGATGCATGCGGTCGAAGCGCAGGAACACGGGCAGCTGCGCCTGCCGACCGGGCGCGTCCAAGTCGCAGATGAAGCTGGTGGAGTCGGCTGAGCTCTACCAGCAGTGTGACGAGCTCGACACGTCGGCGTACCTCTACATATACGCGTACACGTTGAAGAAAATGCGCATGAAGGTCACGCTGAGGCGCGAACGTACAACAATTACTTTGCGTTTCCGCAGTTTCGACAAGTACGAGGATAATCTACGGGAGGCCAGCAGGTGGCGATTGGCGATCAAGTGCCTGGTCGCCAACGTGCCGGTGCCGAAAAATCTTATGAGTCCCAGCCATGGCAACTTGGAAACGTTAGTTGGGGGTGAGTTAGGACCATCTCGATTATTCTTTTCATTGGAGATTCTCTCATCATTGATTGACTGGACACGGAGTAAAAATAAAGCATTGATTGATAACGTGTTTTATACGATTATTCTGTATTTGTTAAGCTGTAATCATATAAGCGATGGCCGATTGTGATTCATGATTACTTTTCAACTAATCAGCGTAAAATTAGCGTACAATCGGTGGCTGTTTTATTCTGATTGATTGAAATGTTAGCGCTAATCGTAATTCAAATGATAATAAGATTACGGCTCTAGATAAATAAAATTGTCGAGTGATAAAATATTCTATTGATGTAATATCTGTTTTTCTAGGTCAATTTTTCTATCTTTCTTTTTGCAAATTGACCTTTCATAGAGTCAGTATATAACAACAATAACGATATCCGATACATCCGGCTGCGCATCTAAAATAATATTTTGCAACAATCAGCTAATTGTTGATTGTTTATAATTTGATTTCGTAAATTAAATTTACTCAGCGATGTAATATATTAATATCTGTTTAATTTATTTACGCCTTTAGGCCCCTTTTGTTCCACCTTTTGGTAAATTTTACCTGTTAAATAGCAAGATTTCCCAATCACATACGCGGATTGTTAGATTTACCTAACATGTAAAATTTCAATCAAAAGATGGAACAACCGGGCCTAAAAGGCATAAATAAATTAAACAGATATTAATGTATTACATCGCTGAGTAAATTTGATTTACGAAATCAAATTGTAAACAGCAAAAATTAATTGTTTTAAAATATTATTTCGCTGTCTATCAAATGATGACGTTGTCTGTTAATTTTTTTTTATTTTATAACTGCTACTTTATTTATCAAACATTTAATTTAACGAAACATTTTACAGAATGATAAGCAATGACTTACACCAAGATACACATATATAATACATTCAATTCTGATATCTATGGTATTATATAATATTCGAATGTAGGATAATCGAACCTATATCAGGAAATTAGTGTTATATATATAGTTACCCACATATATAGTTATCTGTGCTATGAAACTTCGATAGTTTCGTAGCTTATAAATTATAATTATTATTCATAGTTCATTTTTATTTCAAAATCGTTCTAAATCTTATGTTTTAAAATGCTAATACAATTTTTTAATTGGTTTAAAATATTGGAAGATTACACTGAGAAAAAAAAATTGTTTATTTAATCTATGTGCATTTATATTGTTGTTTTATAACATAACACAAAAACGAACAATCGTAGCCGGATATAAACGTAGGTCGGACATTCAGTCGGTTAGACGATTCTTACATTTAAGATCGTAAATACATACCAAGAAAAAGAATTATTTGCTTGACTAAATTAATTTACTTTGTCTTTATTTCTTTTAAGAATATACATATTTAAAATAAATATTGTATATTATATTTGACTTAAACATATATATTCTCTATAACGAAAGAAACAAAGATAAACTAAATTTAGCCAATAAATTATTTTTTATTATTTAAGACGATCTTAAATGTAAAAACGATTTTTACATTTACGATCATGAATATCTGACCTACGGTTATTCGTTTTTGTGTTATGTCATAAAACAATAGTATGTATGCGTAGGTCGTTATCTTTTTCTTATGATTGCTTTAAAATTATATGTCTCATTCAGACTTGCGCATTTCTAGTAATCGGAATAGACACGACTGTGACATATAGTGTGTTTTCTTATTAATAATAAGCCACCCAGACAGAACAAGAAGAATTCAGTCGTATGTCATCAATTTCGAATTAATTTTTAGATGCAAAAAGAATTCTTTTCAGAATTGTTCAGAAAAAAAATTCTTTTGATCTGAAAATGAATTCTAAATTTATCACATAACAATTAAATTCTTTTTTAATTCTTTTTGAACTCTCTGTGCTATCTGAGCAGATAAGTTAATTCTATTAGAAGAAAGTTAATTCTATTATTAGAATTCTTAAGATATTTAGTGGAAAAGTAAATAAAAATAATACAATTCTTTAAAATCAATGTCAAGAAAAATAAAAATCTTTTATTTTTTTTTTGCATAATTTTAGTTACAGCTATAAATTTTCTTCTTTTTTAATGTCTTTTTTTATCACTCACTCAGAGGCGTGTTTTGATTTCTACCTGAGTGTTCCTACAGTGTCATCCTTATTTAACGTTTGGTAAACAAGAATAATATGACATCCGGGGAGCGCTCAGTAGAAATCCAAACATAGATAAAAAATCCCCATAGATAAAAAAGAATATTTTAAAAAGGAACTTTTTTCTAGAATATATAACCTAGAATATAAAATATATAATTTTCGGTAGCAGTCGGTCGTAAAAATTTAGCTAGATACGAATATGAAAAGAATTTTGTTGGATTATCAAAATAAATATATACGCTGGTTCCTAAAATGTCCTAACTTTTTGCAGCATTGCTCATTATATTTTGAGCGTCCTATATAATTATTTTAATGGTCCAACAAAATTATTTTCACATCTTTATTTATCTAAATTTTTTAATATTTCAGCAAAGTTATTTTTTCCGTATAATGAAATAAAATTGATTTCGATTTTTCATAAATAGCTTTGTTTGAAAATTCTGTAATAGTTGGAATGTCGGAAATGAAATAATTTAATTTTCGTTCTAAGAATATAGTAAAACGATAATATTGATAATATCATATATTTCCTTCCACAGAAGTATGGAAGTAACTTTGGTTTGAAGCTTTTTTTTTAATATTTGATTCTCTTCTTGAGGCTGTCTGATGCATCTATTATCGAGTACGTAATGATCCTGCTCTCTCCATGCAGTGCTTTTGTATGCAAATGTCAATTGTATATGGGCTATAACGCACACTTACAGTACAACATACTATATTTTAGTGATTAGTTCCTGCAGACCGTGCGTTTTCATAACTACTTATATAATCTGTAATCTTCCTAGTAAAGTCATTACGCATATCACGTAGATCACGTGATCTCGTGATTTAAGTTTTAGCAATGAAGATATAAGGAACACGTATTTATATGTGTGACTTTTTTTATATTTAATCTCTGTATGAATAAGTGATATTCATAATCAGTTTCAAAACTTTGTAGAACTAAAAATAACTTTTCTCGCAAATTATCACATTATAAAAAAAATTATCTTATTTCCTACTCTTATTCCGTCAGTTCTACAAAGTTTTAAAACTGATTATGAATATTGTGTTCCTTATATCTTCATTGCAAAACTTAAATCACGAGCATGAGATAAGGTCCCGAGAAAAAATGTTATCTATGTATATGGACTATTATACATAATTACATATAAAATATTTTTTCTCGGGGCACAGCTATGACTCATAAATTTCTAATTATTATGTATAACTTTTTAATTATTGTAAAACATTTTAAGAAAAACATTTACAAAATAAAACTTGAAGGTTTATGAGCAAGATTTATATAACTGACAGAAAAATGTATTAAATTTTAATAAATATTTGAATAATATATTAGCTGAATATTTACTAAATGTCA